CGCTATATGCTTTCCCTCCAGTCTCTCTGTTACCACAGGTGATCAAGGGAATCAGGGAAGCGTGCCACTCGGTGCTCCTCATAGCCCCGCGTTGGGAGAATCAGATTTGGTTCCCGGAACTAGCACGACTGTCACATACAGCTCCGTGGCCGATTCTGGTGAGGGCAGATCTCCTCTCTCAGGCTCGCGGCGCGATCTGGCATCCCCATCCAGAGCGCTGGTCTCTCCACGCATGGTTGATCAACGGGTACTCGTTGCCCTGCCAGAAGGAGTGATGAACACGATCACGCAGTCTAGAGCTCCTTCCACGAGAAGGCTCTACGCGTCTAAATGGTCGGTGTTCTCCGGATGGTGCACCAACAGAGGTCTGGACCCACGGACATGCGCGGTGGCGCATCTGCTCACCTTCCTACAAGAGCTGTTGGATAAGGGGAGGTCCCCATCCGCGCTCAAAGTATACGTGGCGGCCGTGGCAGCGTTCGCAGAATCGACGCACGGCCAGTCACTGGGAAGACATGAGTTGGTCATCCGCTTCCTTAGAGGAGCTAGAAGGATGAACCCGCCGCGCCCCCCGTCGGTTCCTATGTGGGATCTTTCATTGGTGCTCGAGGCCCTGAAAGCCTTTCCATTTGAACCACTAGACTCCGTGGGGTTGAAATATCTATCACTGAAACCGTCTTTCTGACTGCACTATCGTCAGTAAAACGTGTGGGGGACCTGTCGTGTCTTGAGTTCGGGCCGAATGACTCTAAAGTCATCCTCAGACCTAGACATGGCTATGCTCCTAAAGTGATGGGCACTCCATTCAGAGCGCAAGTTATTTCGCTGTCAGCTCTGCCAGCATCTGACAGCGAAAGTGATGTGAATCTCCTCTGCGGAGGCAGGCGAAAGTATAAACAAGGCTTCCGTCTCCTCGCGAGTTCAGATACTGAAATACGTCCACACCGCAGACATGTTGCTTCAGACAAGCACGTGCAGGTCGCGGTTTCTGTTTGCGTCATCACAACATCTCGGCCGTATTTTTTCGGTGATAAAAGTCTTTCGGCCGAAAACCGAAAATGGTCTTTTGGGCCATTTTCGACCGAAAATTTTCGGTGGCCGAATATTCGGTGCATCCCTAATAATAATCAGAAATGTTTCTTAAACATCAAATCAGAATGATTTTTGAAGGATCATGTGACACTAAAGACTAGAGCAATGATGCTGAAAATTCATCTTTCAGTATAATAGTACTGTACTTACTGTATGTTTAATCAAATACATGCAGCCTTGGTGAGCATAAAAGAGACTAACTTAAATAAAACATTTGAACAGTAAATATAATTATAAATATATTCTATGAATAATACAAATATATATATTTTTTTAATTAAAAAGGCGTAAACATTATACAATAATTAAAATATAAAACTGTAGTAAAATTAAAGTTAATACCTACAAGATTAAACATATCAAGCATAGAGTTAGTTCTGGCAGGTCTGACTCTCAGCTGATCCTTGTCTAATGTACCTATAATACAACGCCTATCACAGCATCCCTATATATAAAGCCCATTCAGTATTCAGCAGCTTTATCGTGTTGCTCAGGAGCTAATGACCCTCATCCATCTCCAGCTCCTCCTCGTCCCGTCAGGACTTAGCATTCTGATATTCCTCTTCTAATCAGGCTCCTTTTTCTTGAGTTAAGTTGAACATTAAATTATTGAACATGAATTATATCTGCAATACATTTATGTTGGTTCTGTTCTGTTTACCCTGAGGGGGTTATCACTGTTCTCCCTGCTCTTACCCATGCTAGGCGCCCAATCCAAACTGTTAGGTAACTGTCAATCATCTTTAATGATAGTGGTCCTGACAGAATTACATTTATGCATTTAACAGATGCATTTTTATCCATAGCGACTTACAAAAGAGGAACAAAAGCAAAAGCTATTTACTAAAAAAAGTTATTATCTAATCTGACAGTCCTAGTAACTCCATTGGATGGTTAATTTATGCACATATAAAACAACTCAGTCAACCTCCAGCAGATAACGGACACATTCATGTCTGTTGTGAATTTAACAGAAATAATTTTTAATTGGGTTCTCAAAAATGCTTATTGCTGCATTCAACAACATATTCCCCATGCAAGACCATTTCCCATCCACCACACTGTTTATTCTTTATGCATTATGGATGTGTGGACTTGAATTAAACCCTCAGGGATATCACTTACCCACAGTGTTTTCACCTATGCTCTTTGTCTATGCGAATCACTTCGAAGACATGAAAGCGGTTTGTTTTCTATTCCACCATCTATGGCAGCAGGCAAGAGATGCTCTTCTAACTCTGGAAATACTGCACTGAAAAAAGCAGCCAGCATAATATCTAAAAGTCTAGTTCTGCGGTTTTCAAACTTTTCTGACCAAGTACCACCTTCAAAGTCAGAACATCCAAGTACCACCTCGTCACAACTTTGGTCCTCTCTCTCTCTCTCTCTCTCTCTCTCTCTCTCTCTCTCTCTCTCTCTCTCTCTCTCAGAAAGCAGCATTTATTTTGTTCGAAATGATGTTACACCAGTTTGTTCTTTGATTTCTCTTGAAGTATATCAGGGCCTTTATAATTTTACAGAATCTTGCCGTGCACTACAATTTAAGAACGACTGCCCTTGTGCAGTGCCAAAAATCAGAGCAGGCTGTATCGAGACATCTTAAATGGCATATTTGAGAATTGTGTGCTAAATTCATGTTTTAGGCCTTTTAATTACTCACATCTAATATGAATCACTTTTATAGCAAGAACGAATGGACGGAGATTGAGTCTTCTGACGAAGACAGAGTCTTGTAGCATCTGAGAGATCAAGAGCTTCAAGATCTCGTCGGTTTCCAAGTGGGTCAAGGACAGATTACAGCCTTCTTTCAGAAAACGTCTCATCGCCCGCACAGGTACCAGAGAGAATGAGAAGTCTGTACATGCCTCAACCACCTTTACATGATGAACTCATTCCTCTCCCTATGGATTTAATTCTATTATGGAAATTTCCCCTATATTTCAGCCACCGCACACTCTCGCTTTCTCTCTTGCACGCTCTTTCTGTACGTTCTCCTTGGGCGAGCATTAGTTCAGCCCTGTCAATCGCTTAACCGGCCAATTTCAAATAGCTTTTGAGACGGTTTCCCCTGAGAGCGCTGTCCTTTTGACATCAAGTCATGCATTCGGGTAGCATTTGCACTTCATGGTAAAATGGGCATTTATGTACTACTCTCACTTTTATCTTTATCTGCAGCTAATGTCTGCTAAAGTCAATGAGATCTCCAATTAAATAGTTGAATAGTTAAATAGTAAAAATTAACAGTCACTATTTACTATTCTTAGTGTCTTTCCCAACCTGTATGCTGTTTTTTTTTTTGTAAAAATGTTTTAATAACATTTTAATAATCCTCTTTTCAATGTCTGTACATACAAGGACAAAAAAGTGAAAAAAAATAACGATTATTATTAAACATTATTATTACAAATTAGTATTTAAAATAATATTGAATAATATCATAAATAAATAAATATTATAAGTAATAATATAATAATAAATTAAATTAATATTACAATCTGTTTTGGTGCCTGGACCACAGTTTTTTATTAATAACAGTAATTAATAAAGGCTGTTATTATTATTATTATTATTATTATTATTAAATATTCTAATAGTACCACAATATGTTTTGGTACTAGGATCTAGGGTTATCACAGTACCAGAATTCCATTAGTCGGTACAAATACCAGTACAATGTCACGATTCTCTCTACCAATTTCCGACCCATAGCAGAAATAGTGGGAACTATTTTACTATTTTATTTATCTATTTGAAAAAAAAATAATAATAATTTAATTAAATGAGTAAATAATACATTTAAACAGCATGTAGCCTTCAAATGTTTATAAGTAAATACTGCTTATAAAAAAATTAAGTGAAAAATTAGTAATAAAATCAAGGACAAAGAAAGACAGGTCTATTAGTTTGCATTCCCACTCTAAGACTTAATGCATTTTGACATGCAGTATCAGATCACGTATTTAAATACAGTTGGAAATCCAGAAACTGTGCAGTGTACTGAGTAGCATGAAAAACAAAACTTTTATTCAAATGTGTCCGGGTTATAAACAACCACAAAGCGAGCAAAGAGCACTACCTTTATTATCACTGAAGCTGTCAATAACTTAGGCTATGTTCAGCACCTGCTTACTGAGATTAACAGTTCTGTGGAAACTCGAAAAAGCTGCCTACACAGCACAATGAATCTCTTATTTGCATTGTGTTTACACTTTGTTGGTAATAATGAAAGTATTTTCAAGCGTGCAGAGCTAAATCGCACTGTGTACAAAAGGTTATGAATGGTTGAGTGGAGTCTGGCTAACTTAAACACCTCTGATTGGCCACTGTGTTCACACACTCAACAAATGTCTGTGATTGGCTACAATGATCAATGCATATCATCGTCACATTTTTTAATTTCAGTACGGACCTGGTACCGAAGTACCGGTACTTTTAACTACCCTACTGGGACTTATTATTTATTCTAATAACATTGCAATTTGTTTAGTGCCGGGGCCACTGTTATTATTAATAACAGAAATTAACTAAATAATAATAATTATTATTATTATTATTATTATGTGGTCGTGGCACTAAAAAATAGAAAGTGGACTAAGACCTGACGACAAGTAAAATTAACTAAAATGAGATCTGAGCCACTTTTATTGGCTAAGTTTATTGATAAAGTTGTTTCACTCCAAGACCATAAAAGTAACCTATATGACTCATGTTCAGTATTCAAAGTCTTTAGAAGGCTAAATAATAGTGGGTTTGGAACGACATGAGGGTGAGCACATAATGACAGAATTTTCATTTTTGTGTGAACTATTCCTTGTAGGACAGAGGAAGTGGTGAAATGAGGGATTGGGGCTTTGAAATAGGCTTTGTTGAACATGAAGGGATTTGGCCAGTGTAGTGGATTGGTTTACCTGCCGAAGGGCTTTCGAAGACTGGGGTGGTAATACGTTAACATCCCGGGGGTCATTACATTCACAGGACAGCCTCCACTATATTCCTCCTTTGCCCAGTCCTGAAAAAACAAGACAACAATTAACATTTTGCAGCAGTCAGCGTCAATGTGAAATCTAATTTCGGGGCTAATAAATGATCTGAGAAACATTTACACTCTGTGGTTTGATGTCGCTTGTCCTTTATTTCTTAGAAGAGACGGATTTATTATGCAGGTGCCTTTTGCATTGACACTAACAAAACATTTAGACGTCTGGCAGACAACATTTGGCAGAAAGTCGTCTTGTTTCTCTTCTCACTGAGCAGGTTACTTTTATATTAATGCAGCTTCACATTATCATAAACTCCCTACAACCCCCTATTTCTCACTTTTAATAAGGTCACCTTAATGAATTCTGTGTGGATTAGACTAACTGTTCCCCTTATGCTTGTTCAGTTCATGTTGAACTAAATATAAGGTCTAGAAATTATTTATAATTTCATTTAATGAACAATTATTCATTATTCATCATTAGAGCCCTGTAGCCGTTCTTCACGAAATACCCTGCTGGCGTCTTGGTTAATGTTGAATGTTCTTAAATGCTCTTGTGGATTTGTTGAAGGTACTTGAAGCAAAACCCTTAAACAATCCAAGCATGTTAACTTGTGAATAACTTGTGTATAAGATTTTATTAGAAGAAGGTTTTGGCATCTCAGACAGCTCTATTGGTAGTATGCATCACCTTTCTATGAAAATATGAATAACACAATTACAGTTAACAATTAGCTTGATACAATCAGCTGAATACTAAACACCAATGCTGTCTCCACACCACTAGGTGTCAATATAAGTTTTTGTTATATTGTAAGTATATTTCCAATATACAAATAAGCTTTCCTTTGATTCCTCCATCCTCACTTTCTTTCCTTGCAGCCTTCCCTCGCATCCTAAGGAAGCGAGGATGCACACATTAGAAATGAGAAGCACCCATAGACTGCAGCTTTGTTCGAAATTGCCTCCTACACCCTTAAATAGGACACTATTTGAGGGGACAGCCATTTGTAGTGGTGTTCAAAACCATAGTGTACGTCATCGAGTGCACTCATTTAATCCCACAGCTACACACATGCAAATGAACACAGTGCCGGTTTTCACTCACACAGCACAGCAGCCTTTGATTTGATAATCACTATTTGATAAGATCTAACACTATTTCAGTTTTATTTAGATTAAACACCATCTGGAGGTTTTCTGAGTTGATGCACCTTTGCTTTCCACAATGCACCCATAAGCCCAACACAAGACTTCTCAAGACTCTCTGGGTTGAAAAGATAGTATATTTCCTTTCTCAGTAGCAGCTCATTGTAAAAAAGGCCTTGCCATCCGTAGTCCTATAAGTCTCTCCTGCCCTCTCCATTCACAGGCCAAGGAGTTGCTTAAGGCTATTCTCCTTTTTCACTTATAGTGCTAAAGTGGCCAGACACCACTTTTGCACCAAGGTGGTAAAATGTTAACATTCTGTTGAAGCTGATGGCTGTCAAACCAATGTGCCCGTTTGTCAATCTCAATTACGCCCTCAGCACGGTCTATGTCGCCTTTTTACCTCTCAGGGGGAATAAATTCCCATTTCTTTTGTGAAATTGTGCTTTTTAGGCACAGTGGAGGACTGGTTCTCAGCTTTGGCCAACTAGGAATAGAGGTGGCTGCAGAGATTACCATTTCACTTGATGCCTGTGGCGAGTGTCACATGGAGGCTTGTCAAAGCCATAGAGGGAGCTTGGACAGAGGTGATGAACTCTATCAGGCCTTAACAGGTTTCATGCCTGATTTTGGACAATGTGTGTTATATTCACATGCTGACTCATTCAGTGAGAAAAAGCCACAAACTGAGGGCTTTGGCATTTGGATCCATTCAAGACTGAGATGTTTTCACTGTCAATCTTTCATCCATTAATTTTCAAACCGCTTGTTCAATATAGGGTCGCTGGGATACTGGGCCTATCTCTGTATCCCGGGCCATACATGATCACATAATGTATCAAGTGTTGGTGGAATTGAGTAAATATGAAAACGTATCATACTGGTTAAGATGTCAATTTTGAGTATGAACCCCCTAATTAAACAATGAACCATCAAAATGAGTAGGTTGGTCTTAATAAAAAAAAATACCTACACTTAGCAGGCTTATTTTTACATACTGTGTATGAAACATTTCTGTAGGTCTGTCTGAATGACATTTGAATATACACTCACCTAAAGGATTATTAGGAACACCATACTAATACTGTGTTTGACCCCCTTTCGCCTTCAGAACTGCCTTAATTCTACGTAGCATTGATTCAACAAGGTGCTGAAAGCATTCTTTAGAAATGTTGGCCCATATTGATAGGATAGCATCTTGCAGTTGATGGAGATTTGTGGGATGCACATCCAGGGCACGAAGCTCCCGTTCCACCACATCCCAAAGATGCTCTATTGGGTTGAGATCTGGTGACTGTGGGGGCCATTTTAGTACACTGAACTCATTGTCATGTTCAAGAAACCAATTTGAAATGATTCGAGCTTTGTGACATGGTGCAATATCCTGCTGGAAGTAGCCATCAGAGGATGGGTACATGGTGGCCATAAAGGGATGGACATGGTCAGAAACAATGCTCAGGTAGGCCGTGGCATTTAAAAGATGCCCAATTGGCACTAAGGGGCCTAAAGTGTGCCAAGAAAACATCCCCCACACCATTACACCACCAGCCTGCACAGTGGTAACAAGGCATGATGGTCCATGTTCTCATTCTGTTTACGCCAAATTCTGACTCTACCATCTGAATGTCTCAACAGAAATCGAGACTCATCAGACCAGGCAACATTTTTCCAGTCTTCAACTGTCCAATTTTGGTGAGCTCTTCCAAATTGTAGCCTCTTTTTCCTATTTGTAGTGGAGATGAGTGGTACCCGGTGGGGTCTTCTGCTGTTGTAGCCCATCCGCCTCAAGGTTGTGCGTGTTGTGGCTTCACAAATGCTTTGCTGCATACCTCGGTTGTAACAAGAGGTTATTTCAGTCAAAGTTGCTCTTCTATCAGCTTGAATCAGTCGGCCCATTCTCCTCTGACCTCTAGCATCAACAAGGCATTTTCGCCCACAGGACTGCCGCATACTGGATGTTTTTCCCTTTTCACACCATTCTTTGTAAACCCTAGAAATGGTTGTGCGTGAAAATCCCAGTAACTGAGCAGATTGTGAAATACTCGGCCCGTCTGGCACCAACAACCATGCCACGCTCAAAATTGCTTAAATCACCTTTCTTTCCCATTCTGACATTCAGTTTGGTGTTCAGGAGATTGTCTTGACCAGGACCACACCCCTAAATGCATTGAAGCAACTGCCATGTGATTGGTTGATTAAATAATTGCATTAATGAGAAATTGAGCAGGTGTTCCTAATAATCCTTTAGGCGAGTGTAATTTCCTAAAGTTTAACCCTATCGTTAGCCTGGGAGATCGGCGATACACGATATTATCGTATTACTTATTTGATCATTAAGTTGCTTGTTTCTTTGCTTATTTCTTTACTCATTAATTTGCTTTATATATGAGAATCTTTTTCTATTTTGCTAGCAAAGGTGGAGTGTATATTAACAAATCAGGTCATTTCCCAGTAGTGAGGTAAAAACATAGCCTAATCATTCGTTTATCTGACTTTGAGTATTCCATTTATTATGTCTGTTGTGATGTTAAATAAAGCATTAAAAATGAAAGAGTATTTCAACATGTCAGCGGGAAATTTATGGACACATATCCTCTCATGCCGTTACAGATGCAGCATTTTTACTGTAGGACTGTAAGACACGAGATGAAAACACATTTTTAGAGTTTCTTGGGTCAAGAAAGAGTTGGAGTTTGCAATATTTCCTCCTCCCTAAAGCTACCGCGAAAAGCTCGCACTGTCTGGATACACGTAAATGCACAGTAAGGACGCTTTCCTGTCATACAGCCTATCACATATGTACACTTCAATAAGCCCAAAGAACGCATGTTAATGTGTTTACATGCCGGGAGAAACAGGGGTAAGGGGCAAAAATCGAGCTGTGTCAATCGGTTTATGCTTATGTCTTTTATGACTTTACTCCAATAAAGGAAACCGGGTAAACGCAATAACATGTCCACATGCATTGTCAGCTTATTCAGCATAATCGGGTTAAGAACGTGCACATAAACGCGCTCACTTATTTCCTGAAAGTGAAAGCAAAAACTGACTGAGCAGCTGTCGCTGCATTAATGGCACACTCTCTCAGAGAGGACGATCAATCTACCTTAACAAAAGCTGATAACGGTTAATCTTAATTTACTGGCTTAATATTTCTCTAATAGACCATGACAGTGAAATTTCAAGTTTTTTAAAGTCAGCATTTGAAGCTGCTTTTGATTTTCATAGATGACTGATTTGTGCTGAGTTGGACCTAAAACTGTTATTAGGCCTATATAATTTTAGTGATATTACTATCAATAATTAAAATAATTTGTAATTGTATTGTTTTTAGTGTTATTAGTGTCATTAAAAGTTGTCACCTCGTGTTGACTGCGTCTCAGCCAAAAAGCTGCGCTTGAACACACCAAAACGACTAAAGGTGACTGCCAATTAGTATGTGCGTTCTGCGCCTGCGCATAAGGAGATAACTATCTATATCAGCAGGTATCAATAGTCTATATTCGTCATTGAAAAAGGGACACTGAAAAAAGGACTTCAGATATACAAACTGTATTGAACTTTTGGGTAAGGTGAAGTAAAATATGCCTTCTGTTGCTTTTCGCTTTTATTCTTGTGCACTGACTTGTTTGCTAAACTGAACAGCCAATCATAGCAATCTCTCTCACCGACACCCCAATACCGATTCATCATGCTGACTCAGGTGAACTGCCGCCGACGTGTGGAACACAGCAAAGACTATCCTGACAGACACTCACAGACAGCCAAAGTTGGCCGACTGTCAGATGGTGTGTCATGTCATGGCCCTTAAAAACATTATTGACCAATTCTACCTTAGCAACTGTTGTCATCCGCCATTTTCTCATCTTTGGCTGAGAGGATTTGTGTTTTGGCAAGTTTTAAATTTTTTTAAAAATTGAACAAAAATACAGTAAATCTTATACAAGTTACCCCATCATATTCTTTTTTTCAAATTTTCTATGTCTATGTATAATCTAAGAAAGGATACTACAGTCATGTGAAAAAGAAAGGACACCCTATTGAATTCTATGGTTTTATGTATCAGGACATAATAAAAAGTCATCTGTTCCTTGGCAGGTCTTAAAATTAGGTAAATACAACCTCAAAACAACAACATGACATATTACACTGTGGCATTACTTATTTAGCAAAAACTAGGCCAAAATGGAGAAGCCATGTGTGACAAACTAAGTACACCCTTACAGCTTCCATAGGAATTAAGAGTGTAAGTAGCAGTCAGGAGCTGATAATCAAAGGTCTTTGATTTATTGATAATTAGCAAGTGTGATCAACTCTATAAAAGCAGAAGTTTTTTCAGTTTGCTGGTCTGGAGCCTCCAGGTGTGTATTAAAACACAATGCCAAGGAGGAAAGACCTTAGCAATGATCTTAGAGAAGCTATTGTTGCTGCCATCAATCTGGGAAGGGTTATACGGCCATTTCCAAACAATTTGAAGTCCATTATTCTACAGTAAGGAAGATAATTCACAAGTGGAAAACATTCAAGACAGTTGCCAATCTTCCCTGGAGTGGACGTCCCAGCAAATTCACCCCAGGGTCATGACAGTGCAATGCTTAGAGAAACTGCAAAAAACCCAAGAGCTACACCTCAGACTCTACAGGCCTCAGTTAACATGTTAAATGTTAAAGTTCATGGCAGTTGAATTAGAAAAAGACGGGACAATTATTGCATGTTTGGAAGGGTTGCCAGGAGAAAGCTTCTTCTCTCTAAAAAGAACATGGCAGCATGGCTTAGGTTTGGAAAGTTGCATCTGAACAAACCACAAGACTTCTGGAACAATGTCTTTTAGACAGACAAGACCAAAGCGGAGATGTTTGGCCATAATGCACAGCGCCAAGTTAGGAGAAAACCAAACAGAGCATATCAGCACAAACACCTCATTCCAACTGTCCATCATGCAGATGGAGGGATGATGATTTTTGGCTTGTTTTGCAGCCACAGGACCAGGGCACCTTGCAGTCATTGAGTCGACCATTAACTCCTCTGTATGCCAAAGTATTCAAGAGTCAAATGTGAGGCCATCTGTCCGACAGCTAAAGCTTGGCCGAAATTGGAACTCTTTCAATGGAACAAGACAATGATCCTAAGCACACCAGCAAATCAACAGAATGGCTGAAAAAGAAAAGAATCAAGGTGTTGTAATGGCCCAGTCAGTGTCCAGACCTCAACCCGACTGAAATACTGTGGCGAGACCGTAAGAGAGCTGTGCATAAACACATAACCACAAACTTTATGAAGAAGAGCAGGACAAAATTCCGCCACAACAATGTGAGAGACTGATAAAGTCATATAGAAAACGATTCCTTCAACTTATTGCAGCTAAAAGTGGCACTACTAGCTATTAAATTATATGGTGTAATTAGTTTGTCACCCATGGCTTTCCCATTTTGGAAATTATTTGTTAAATAAATAATGACACAATGCAATATGTCATTTGTTGTTGTTCATCTGAGGTTGTATTGACCTCATTTCAAGACCTGCTAACGACCAGAAGTTTTTTTTATTATGTTCTGATACGTAAAACCACAAAATTCTTAAGGGTGTCCTTTCTTTTGACATGACTGTACATTTGCTACATGTAAATGAATGATACTAAAAAGGTAATATTATTTACATATTGAGTCAGGTCACTGTGGTCTTAAAATTAACTAAAGCATTTACAGCACCATAATGAATGTATTGTAGAAACATTAGGAATCACTAAAGTTATAACTAGAAATTGCTGTTAATCAGGTTTTTCTCTTTTTTGTATTTCTTTTGAAACAATTGCCTTGATTCTTCTTCATAGGCTCTACAGTTTTTAATCATGTTACTGTGTAATTTAAGATTTTATTTAAAGAAAAGCAGCACTTAAAAAAATGTACAATGTGACAATTCATTCCAGACCCCCTTGAGAATAATATCCAGTTTATATTTTTACCAATTTATGAGCACATTTTACTGAAAATCACATCGTTGACATAAATATCCAATTCATTCCTATGAAGAAGCGTTCTGCTAAGCTTATCTAAATAAGCGACGATCACCGAAGTGGGCGGAGCTTAGCTAAAAATCAATTACCATTTATTAAAACTTCTCCACAATGAAAGATGATTAGTCAGACACTTGCAAATGCATAAGACAAACCACCACAGACTCAAATGTGTGTTCCCTTAAAAATACCTAAAAAAAAACTGAGTGTCTTTCTTAGCCTCTTTTCCAAATTTTTTCAGAAAATATTTTGTTCCTAAATAAAGCTGAAGTGGAGGGTTTTGCAAGACAATGACTATAAATTCTCTGACTCAGTGAACATATTGGTTGAAATTCACCACATACCTTTTCCCCATAGTGAATGTAGGTGGACGCCTCTGGGCCGAGGTACTTTACCAGGCTTGAGATGACAGCATCTCTTCTCTCCTCCATCTAAAATGAGAAAAACATAAAAACATTTGTTTATCATCATATCATAAAAGGCCAAAGCTGCTAGAATATGACTGCACTGTTGTCATTGTGAAAAAGAAGTGTGCTTGGTTGTATTGAATGTGCACTTGTTGTGTACTTTAAATCTCAATTGTATTAAAAAATTTACTTGTAGGTAATATATTATTGAAATAAAAGGCCAATTTAAGTGTACTTAAAGAGAGGACACTATGTTTCTTAACACAGTTAATAAGTACACTTCTAAAAAGCAAACTTTGTAATAATGTAAATTAAAAAGTTTTATTTTAAAGTACATTTTAAATCCTTAAATCAATCATCTTTTGACAGCCTTTAAAGAAGGACACTTATTTTGATGTGTTAGCTTTTAATGTTGTTTATATGTCTATGTGGTGTTTTTAATATCCTTTAAAGTACCCCTATTATGCTATTTTAAAGTTTCCTAATGTTGTTTTGGAGTCTCCTACAACAGGTTTACATGCATCAAAGGTAAAAAAAAACTGTTTCATTTCCTAATAATATACATTTGCACATCACCACATTTTCAATGACTCTCAAACATTGAGAGTCAGATGAATCAATCTCTCTAAATCCCTCCTTTTCCGCGAGCTACTCTGCTCTGATTGGCCAAACAGCTCAGTCTGTTGTGATTGGTTTAACGTGTACTGCGTGTCGAAAACAAAAACGGCCATTGCCATAACAACGTCAGCTCTGCTTGTCCTGAGGCTTCCTACAGCGTAAACTAAACACAGATACGAACAATGACGTTGATTTTACCATATCAATCCGAGCGCGAGTCCGATGATGAAACATTGGAAGAAATAGTAATCAACCCAAACCTCCATCGCAAGGACAACTCGAGCAGGACATTTCTCAGTGATGCACTACTCAGTTTGAGGCAGATTATGAGATGTTGCAACTGTAATTCCTCACCATCAGCATTAACAAGTGCATGTTCATCAACAAACCGATTATTTTTCGAATTTATTGCGGTGAATATGTGGAAACTGTATCAGCCGAGCTCTAGCGTGAATGACAGATAAAATGTAAATCTAAGTATTTTGAACACCATCTTTCAAGAGCAAGCGGTTTGTGAATCCTGCATTGAACTCTGAGATTTGAGAAGCAGTCATCAGTAAAATAAAGGGAACACAGCAAAAGTTTAGGATTTTACTGCTGTGGTATCGTGGTAAAGATTAATTTTAACTACTGTCCTTGGGCAGTGAAAAAAAACTGGCTTTACCTTCTCATTGTAGAGCACAGCGTCTTCTCGACATGATGCTGTCCAGTATCCACAGGAATCAGCTACAGTGTTTGAGGTTCAAGTTTTCCCTGGTGTCTGCGAGCGCAATAAGTGGGCGGGCAATATGCTAATGTTTCGTCATGACTTCACAACGAAACGGCTTATGACTCATTTGAAAAATGATTAATTTCATTGACTCAGAGTCGACTCTTACTTTTGAAAGACAATAACTTCATATACGGTGCACTTTTAGATTTAAAACTTTGCAGGATGTTTTCATTCACTTAGAGCTATGTTACACACTACGTTACAAAAGGTCATTTTAAAAAATCCATAACTTTGACAAACCATGTACAAATTCATAAGTCAGCACCATTGCTGAGTATTTTCTCCTTAAAACTGCAGTGAAAAAAAAAAACAGCCTCAAAATCGCGGTTTGAAATCGCTGGTGTTTCCGACGTCACAAACTACCTTACAACCAATCACGTCAACGTGTGATCATCAACGAGTAGATCTCTGAGCTGGTGCGAGTGAGTGGAGGTGGGGCTAATTTGCATATTCATAGACCTGTATATACTAAATGAGGCAAGGGTGTAGAGTTACATTCAAGCAATTTTAAGGCATGACAAAAAAAATCAAAGGAAAAAATTATTAAATATGTAATTTTGGTGATCAAAGGTAAGTTTTAAAGGAAAAAATTACTGACTACAGGGCGACTTTAACCAACACACTAAAACACATGTAAAGTATCATTTTAAAATGTTACTGTGCTATTCGATATTACATTTAAAGTTCATATATTTTAAATGCACTAAATTACAACTTCATCATTACTAATTAAGTATAAAGATAAGTTTCATTACAAATGACATTTAAGTACATTTTAGTTAACCATAAATGTTTGTCAGTACTTTCAACAGTACACATTTACCATATTTCAAAGACAATAGAAGTAAAATAGAAAATTACATAACATATGTACTTAAGACCTACTTAAATTTCAAAATCCCTCTAAAGTTCAGCTAATTGTATTTAAAATATATTTAAACTAGAATACACTCTAATTTAATAGTAAATAACAATTAATTGTCTGAAAATATTACATATATTCTTTTAAAGCATATTCTTTTAAAGTATATTATGTCCTTAATAAGTTCTCTTTTTAAAATTACGCTAAACTGTACATTTTCACAAGGGCAGGAAATGGGCTGAGTCCCGTTCTCCAACCTACATCGATCTGAATAAGTCAGTTCCTTTTTATAACTCTATGAGTTATGGGCAGAAAGGGGCCGGGGCGCGCACCCCTGCTGTTACTATGCCAACGAGTGACAGATGTTAAGGGAACACATAAAACTCTGCATCTGCATGTTGTGCACACTTCCACTTGAACCAAGTGTCCCAGACCATAATTCAGCCTACAATTATGGCTTTACACCAGGTAGGGGGCAGGGCGGCAGAGGAACCATATGCGGTGGGTGGTATAAAAGTGTCCATAAGGAGCTTGAGGGGTAGCCGCTATCTCTAATGCCTGCTCATAAAACAAACCGTACAAAATTGCACTTCATGTCCGTTCTTCAAATTTTGCCAGCTCATTCATGTGAAGTTAATGTGGAGTAACGGCAGAAAGCACACGGCTCGCCATAATGTGCTGAGTAGTAAGTCTGGACTTCTTATGGACATCATTCTGTATACAACTGGTGACAACTGCTTTGCAGAGTACAAGACATTTTACAGACAAAACAAAAATGGATTGGCTATTCCAGCATAAAATACCACCATACACAAAATAGTAATGTTGTATTAGTAGATGAGAACCAGTTTGACTTGTCCATCTGATTCATTATGAATGAAGCAACCATAAACTCAGTGGCTTAAAAGAACTCCTCTTGTCTATAATGCATGACTACGGATGGTCTGGGAGTTTTATCATAAGAAGCGAGATGGAAACATGTTTATCATCAGACCAGCTCATCTCGAAGAGGGAGTTTTTAGCTTTAGGCTACAGTAGCTATTTTCTGCATGCAGGATGTGTGGCTATCTTTGTTTGATTGAGCATCGAGTAACAGATAAATCAATATTTTGCCACATTATCAGTCAGGAAAAGACCCTTTGAAGACTCAAAGCTGGAAATATTTGTTTTCCCAAGATAAGGCTTCCAGTTTAAAACTGTAGCAAAGACATTTAGCTAATCGCTTATAAGATTAGAATGCTGAAAAAAACATTTGTCCTTCATTCCACTGGCTCAAACACTCACAAAGACTAGCTTAAACTAGCATGTTAGCAAAATTGGTTATTTTTGTTATTTTAGAATTATTTATTTTATATTTTAGTATTAGTTATACAATAATATTTTTAAATTATTCATATTTTGAATTAGCTTTTGTTTTTATATTTTCAGTTCAAAATTTTATTTTAGTTTTAATCATTTTAGAACTTCAACTTCAACTTATTTATTTCAGTTAATTGCCAAGACAACATTCCTATTTGGGATCTGTGACATCACACGGGCAAACACATTTGCATATGACCACCTCCAGAGCAAGACATGGACGAATAGTTATACATCATCGCACCATAGGCCCTGCCCACTGTCATTCAGTCGTTTAAAGACTGACATTCGTCTACATTGGATGTGAGCGTTGCGTCAAAAGCAAATAGAACCCATTATAATCACTGACGCTGTCTACACTGGTGTCAGGGTTCTGTAACTTCAGTCTGTTGATTCTTGCTCTGACACTCCTATTGTTATGGTGAGCGTGCGGTTCAGAGTTTGCAAAAACATCTCGCATGGATGGAAGAGCGTACAGCCCAAGCGAACTTGGAACCTCATGCTCACCATGACAAGACAATAGGAGTTTCAGAGCTCTGTCACCAAACCAAGAATAAACAGACTGTAGTGACAGAACCCTGACAACTGGATACAGTGTACAGATGCCCATTCATTTTCTGCTGTACTCCACGCACTGGAGTCTGTCGACAACAGAACAAATGGAAGGGTAAAAGGAAGCGTTAAAGAACGTTCGCTTTGACACATCCATTTTAAACAGCTCATTAGCTAATTTCTGTAGAGACTTCAGAAGGATAGCATCAGGAACAAGTGGGTGTTTTTTTTTATGACGGCCCAGATTGCGTCAGATGATTATTAGGCCGTGAGACAGAGGGTTGGATTGGTACCATTTTGAGGGATTAAACCGCATGGTGATTTTTGTGTAGGTATATGACCCTGTATTTGAAAAATGTGTGATAGCATTAGATTCAAGGTAGTTTTTGGTTACGGAGGACAATTTTCAAACATATGTCAAGAAAAAGGATAAATGAATTTATCTTTAAATAAATTTTATAAAATTTTTATACATTTTTATAATAAAAAAAATTATACATTTTTTTAATACATTTTTTAAATTATAAAAGGATACATTTTTCTCTCTTGTAGTCACTGAACACCTTACCTTGAGGTAGGATGATATAAGTGTTGATTTCTAATGAAAGCTACCATGGATCGGATGCTATCACACATTTTCCAACACTAGAGATGTGTACCTTCGTGAAAATCAAAAAGAAATTTAATCCCTCAAAATGGTACCGGTAGCCCAAATTTGGGGTCCCGTCTCATGGCCTATATATGTTTGTTCATCATTTTGTTTTGTAAACGAGGCAAAACCGAGGTGAAATGGAGAGTTTCACAAAGAAAATTTTGTTGAAAGATGAAACAAGACATACCTGGGAACAATCAAAGTCCACACAAGACCAGGGTGTCTTGTTTCCCAATTACCCCTTGTGTATTAATGCTGCCTTCGCTGCCTTTGAAATCCCATAATCCCACAATCCTGTGCTTTCCATTCTGTGACAGTTGAGCTAAAAAAATAAAGATGGCATCTGAAAGTTGCGGTTGCTGGTCAGTTTGTGTGTAAATGTACGTTTCTGACCAATGTTTTCCACTTCTGATGTCATTCCTAGCAAGAACTTACTCTAATTAATCATAGTAATTAAATATTTGCTTAGTTTTCACCAAAGCTCTGTCTACTCTGCTGTAGATCATTAAACTGTTACGCTGTTACGAGGTGCCTTTATGCACAAACGCTTCCTGCAAAGTCATTGCCTGATAAGGCAGCGAGGCAACAAGCCAGCTGCCTACGTTTTCAGACGCAGCCTAAGTTTTTCATCTAATATTTATATGGTATATTATTTCACCTTTATTACAATTACTAAAAAAGATTTTTTTATTATCTACATTAACATTAACAACACTGGTGCTGGTCTAGTTGGTGGACCAACATAGACATGATTTTCTTCAGCAAAATGTAGCTCGTACTCATATTCCTATGAATGGGAGAAAGTGCAATCGCTAAATGGTAAAGTCATTGATTCACTGCAGCTGACATTAGAAGCTAAGTCAGTGTTCTGAGACGCACGCTTAGAACTGCACATGCGCATTGGCTGGTCCAGCCTGAAAAGTTCATTAATTTTTTTAACGCTACCTTAACATAAGAAAACACATTTATGAGACAACTGTCGTCCGTTGTTGTCTGAGATTTCAATGGTGATTTCAAATATGAAATTTAATCGTCAACTTGGTGAACAGCTTTGGAGAATTTGATGATTCCCCATTTATAGAGATAGGAGATGTACTTGCATGACGGAAATAGCTGCCCGAGGGGGGTTTAAAAAAAAAACGCTTGAGTAAAATGACTTGTCTTGAAGGAACTTTTATATTGTTTTCTATAGGTAGACAGATTGTTTTTGAAGCCTCTTAAAAATATGAAACAGACTTTGAAATGGGAATGCTAAAAGATTTCTCCACATATTATAGATTTCCTCAAGTTCAGCTAGATGAAGCAAACCAGTACATGAGCATCCAAAACGGTTGTGAGCAGCTGTCTGTCTTTTCTTTTCAGCAGGGTATTATGACTGATATGCTTTACAAGGGCAGATTTTGAGCAACTAAATGTCAAAACGTATTTATTTTCACCTATTGAGTCACTGTCTAAGTATTCCTATGAAAGTGTGAAACTGAGAATAGACCTGACACCGGAACATAATGAACTTCTTTCTCTTTATCTCACACTCCTTCCTTCCATTTCTCACTCCAGTTCAGCTCACTATACAGTATGTCTCTGTTTTTCATAAACCAAATTCTTTGTCTCTCACCTTTCTCTCGCTCCAGTCAAGGGCCTGTACACCAGTGATGAACCCCACCAATGCAGGATTGCCTTTCGGGCTGGTGGCGTCAAATGTGACGCTTAAAGGGCAGCACTCGGAGGGGCGAACCACAATTTCCCCCGAGAAACCCTTTTCCTTCCAAAATGCCTGTGAAGTCAGATCAAAAATGCAGAGAATCAACATCCCTGAAAATGAAAAGCATTCATTCTTGATTAGCACTATGCTGACAACTGACATTATCTGCATAAATGTCAACTATATTTGCATAAATGTAAATATTCAATTGTAGATTTATAAGATTTTATATGCATTATCTGCATATTGATCATCTCTCTCCCTTTTGAACTGAGGTGCTACGTGGCCCATCCAAAATACACTTTTCAATGGGCCACGTAGCACCTCAGTTCAAAAGGGAGAGAGACTAGCTTAGATTAGCATGAATGGGATTATTGTTCCCATAACAACTTATCTTGTTATTGTTTTAGTTTAATGGATAGTTGTTACTTATCATCATCAACTATCCATTAAACTAAAACAATAACACATATATAATAAATTACTTTGTTCTTAAAATGTTTGTTTGTTCCTAAAATATAAATGCATCTATTGTAATTCATAATCACATTCTGCCTATGTGCAGTTTCAAATATGTAGTACTTTTCCAAAACAGCACTTTATCTGAAGCACCTTATTTAAAAAAGAAAAAATAGCTTATGTGTGTATTCCTCATTTGTAAGTTGATTTGGATAAAAGCATTTGCTAAATAAATAAATGTAAAATATATTCATTTATATTTTTACATTTATTCATTTAGCAAACTTGTGTTTCATGTATATATGCAATTAGAGATAATAAGAAAGATTAAAATACACTTTTAAGCACTCAGACAGGCTTTCATGGACTACAATTTTAATGTGCTGCACAGAAAAGCTTCTCCCTGAAAATCCCTGAGAATCTCCCAGATTCACAAGAGGTTTGATCGATCATTTTGTTTCCCTGAATTGTAGCGTCACATAGTTATTAAATGCATAATAAAATATATAAATAATCAATTCACATTAACACAATCTACATTTCAGAGGCCACTGGGAGTGATTTTTGTGCATCTTTGGTTTCAGTTGGTTCTAATCAAATTTATGATAAATTTAGGTGTGAACTTATTATTGAATCAATATTTCTCACGTTTTATGCACAAGTTGTTAATGAATGAAACTCATGATCTTAATTAATATACAAAAGATAGAAAATATTCAAGTAAACATTTCACAGTTGACAGACAAGGCTTATCCTCTAATTAAGGTGGTTTCTCCAGTCACTGCAGGGCCAAAATTAAATATTAAATTAAAGTGAGGGCTTATACTGAATATGGTAGACTGAGCACTAGGAGACAGCTCTCCATGCCTTTGCACATTTTAACTTCATTATAGAGTATAATGCAATAGAGCCATAGGGGAAGTAACTGCACTGCGCTGCGCTAGGAAAGCCAGGAAAGCCAGTAAAGCCGGCTGTGGGTAAGTGGATGGGTTATGCGTGTTACTCACAGTGGGGTACGTGACGATAAATTTCGTCATGTGGCCCATGGGCAGGCACTGGATGAGGCGCTGGCGCTCAGCTGGCAGGGCAGGCTCGTAGTGGATCTGGGCTGGAAATGAGGGCATAATTAGCACTGAATGAAAAGCCGTTTAGTGCTAAAAAAGAACAGTGGAATGATACTGACATAAAATAGGAAGGACAGATGAGAAAGGTAACAGCTCTGTTCTTAAAGTTGTAATGAAACAGAAGTTGTGATAGTCTTTTCTTCCCGTGTCGTATATTCGAGTAAAATGGCTTCTTAAACAAGAAAAAATGTAGGGAAGGACTTGACTTTGTTCTTGGGGAATTGATTGGATGATTGTGATTTGATAATGCTGCTATCTCATGTGAGTGACGGGTTTTCCTATCCGTGATGTGGACGCATACATAATTTATAATAAATACAAAATAAAAAAACGGTCAATTTTGATTCCATGGTGACTTTAAAAGTAGTAAGCTGCATTGTTGCCAACTGTCTTCATAGGCAGCTACCTTCTAAGAAAGCATTTAACCATCATTGAACCTCGTAAAGGAGCAAAACTGTATACATTGGATTAAGAGTGTTATAAAGGGGAGGACAGGACTGAATAGAAATACACATTTTAAAGAGCAATGGGAAACAGAAAATGGACTCCCAGATGAGGGGAAAGGGAAAAATGGGAAGCACAGACAGGAAGAATATGGTATAGAATAACTCATAGGTCTCAGATCATCCCTGGGTATTGATTTAGGTGGCTATACCTTCTAATCAAGCAGCACTTTGGAAAATTGGATCTAATACCCCAGTGACTAGCTCTCCATGAAATTGCCAATCTATTAAAGAATCCCTGCGATTTAACACTACTACTTTGTTTTCTTAAAAGCCATAATTAAGGCTTAGTCATTTCGCGAGTGTGGGGTATCCAATAACTTTATGTGCGGCCCACAGGGCCATCTCTATGTCTGCGTAACGTTACCAGTGCCAGAAGGGACCCTGACCCCAGTTTTGAAAAGACAGCCTTTTTGGCAACAAGCCAACATGTGAACTAGCCTTTTGAAGAGAGGACACACAAATAAATGTTAGCCTACCATCCAGTTGGTCAATTGAGAAGTAAATGCTTGAGAAGCATAACAATATTAAAAGATATGAAAAAGATTAATTAAGCCAGGATTAGGCCATAATTCAGTTGGGACATGTAGGTAACTTCTATAAACGTGCCATAGAAAAAAACATTATTGGCGTGCATCTTGGGAGAAAACAATTGCACTGACATATTTTAAGATATATCAGTGCAAGTTGCTTTCAGTTAAAAACAGCTCAAGAGGGGGTACATGAACAAAATGCTGAATTTTGCCATTCATTTAATTCTACCCCACTTTAAAATAACATTAAAACAGTGCATGTATTTCAAACAGGCAAAATGCCATAAAAAAAGGTCAAATAGATGACATCCAATCAAATGACCTCATCTTCTGCAGTGGACTGCATTCACACAAGCAGCGTGCATATGAGGTTGTGTACAGGGTATGCTACAATGTTCTCAACAATATACCTTTGTAAAAGTAGTTATTTAGCACTTATTAGCATGAAGAAAAATATAGACACAGACTGTGGATAGAGGCATGCCTAGAGGGACCGCGGTTGACCCCTCATATAATCTCACAAAATCCTGTGGGAAACACTGAATGTGATTATCTTAAGAGCTGGAAATGAAAAGCAATTACAAAACACCAGGGTTATTATAACAAAAGGGACAAAAAAGGGAGCTCGGATACTGTTGGGAAGGAAATTGTCACTAAGTCCATCTGTAAAATGTTTAGCAAATCACCCAACATCTCATTAAAGTGGATCCATTCCAGAATTACGCAGAGAAGCATTTTAATTGGAGCTAATGTTAATAAACGTCTCTGTCCAGACTGAAAAATCAAACAGGACAAGCGATGTGGAGAAGCGCTACGTTGTAATTGTGTAAAGCGACGGCAATCAGAAAAAGATATTTTGATTACATTATGTTTCACGAACACTTTGCTAATTGAACAAGAGGCTCTGATTAGCACATTTCCATTGTACAAACCCTCTGGCAGAACCCTTTCCATTCTTTTAATGGAAAAAACAACAACAAGGCAAAACATGTTTCTAACGTATCTTTTCTTAACCATGATTTATTTTTGCGATCATTTATATGTGACCGCCAATCCCATGACAGCCCACATGAATCTGCCTCTCGAAAGGGCTGTGATGGCAGACAGGGGAAACAGATCTAATTTAACCGCAGTGACTGAGGTGTAGTGTTGCTCTCGTTGATTGAGAGCAATCGCTCTGCGTCTGGCAGTCCATCATAACTGTGTGCTTGTAAGAGACAGCAACTGTCTGCTTGCTTCAATTTGCTAGATGTTAGGAAACTGCAACACCACCAATCTGGCAGCCACACAGGGAGACAAAGGGATGAGCAACTTTAGAAGAAATTAAGAGATGTTTGTGTACATTTTATATTGATTATGGAAGTGGAAATTCATCAAATTGCAATCAAATGATGGAGTGTTAAATAGGCATATACTAGGGTTGCATGATATATCAAAATAAAATATCGCAACATTGCTTAGTGTAATTGTCAAATCGCGAAGGCTGCAATATAATTAAATAAATATATTTATATTTATTATAAACGTTTATCATGACGTTTATCATCCAAGTGGATGCTGCACATTGGTGGTGGTTGAGGAGATTCCCCCTTCCATGTGAAGCGGTTTGAGTGCCTAGAAAAGCGCTATATAAATTTAATGAATTATTATTATTATTATTATATGCACTACCGGTTTCAAAGTGAAGTGCGCCATTTACACACCTCTGATATTGTGAGTTGCATAAATGAACACAGTGCCGAGCTTCACTCTGAAACCACAGCGCATATTTTTATTTCGCAGAAACCTAACAAAAAAGCTTGAAATTAAGAAGTCAATAAATGTTTGTAATTTTTATTTTTAATAATAATCAATAAAATCATAATGATTATTAACAGTGTGAATGTGGCTTTGAGAGATTAAAAAAAACAAACATTTTGCAACACTAGAAAAAAATTTGGTGTAGGATTTACCTTGAAACAAGTTTCACTCAGAAATTGCTTGTACATTTCACAAATAATTACAAAGAAATGGCAAGTAATACATTGAATTAAACAAAATTTCTGAAGTAGAAACACTGAAATAGTATATTGTAAAACATACTCCAATTATCTTTTTTAACTTTTTTAACAGTGAAGCTTTTCCTTAATCGTTCAGCCCTAAAAGGATTTTTGCGTTAAAGTGTTCAGAGAAATAGTTAAGCTTTATTTTTTTATATATATTTATTTTCAATGCAGATGCACTTCCCAACAAAATCACCCCACTTAAGATTTTTTCAAGTCATCATTCAAATCAAGTTCTCATTTTAAAGAGCCAATTAGGGAGTGAGATATGTTTGTCTTTACCTGATTTGCATAATTCTTTTAGTGAACAAGATGTTAAATGCAAATAAACAACACTATGCACACTCCACAGGTATGTGGCTGCAGTTCAAGCTTTCGTGAATTCCCAGGATATTTTACAGACCATATTCTAGATCCTCCTACACTTCAGTCAGTCTGTCGCTCTCTTTCTTGCCTTAAGGTTTTTTTTCTGTGTGTGTGTGTCTTTGTGTTGTCTCTTTTCCCCCTCACTCCTTGGCATCTCTGTCACCTATGTTACCCAGGTAGCCGTGAGTGGTGGAACAGACAGTTATAGCATAACCTCAGGCTAATGGGCCACAGGTGCTCTCAGCATTTCTCTAGGATACCCTCCTGCTCGGAGCCTTTGGGAAAACTATACTTAAAAAGGAAGGGGGAAAAAAGATTCACTTGTTTACGCTAGTGATGCAGTGAAACTGAAAATCCTGGATACGGCTGAAAACGTACTAATTATCAGGTAGCAATTGCTTTGAATAACTAAACTAATTAAATATAATATATAACATAATATAATATATAAAATAATATAATATAATATATATACACATACATTAAAAATATTTTTAAAAGTATGACTCATCCTGCACTTCATAGATTTTTGACCAATCAAATGCTTAAAGAAATGACAATGTGAGGGACATTGCCTGTAACAGTCTGGGAATTGATTATTTTTTAAGGGACAATTCTTTACTCAAAAATAATATATTTAGGCCTAAAATTAAGATGTATGTATTTGAATTGCATATAAAATTTCCATCCAATTGAATTTGCACTATTTAATAGGAAATATGTCAAGACAGGAGAGAAAGGAGACATTTTAATTGTTTATTAATAACAAGTGTTTTCAGTCATTGTGGGCTGCAAAGATGAAGTTGAGGATGCGGACTCGCGATCTTTGAACGCACCAGAGAGAAATGTATACATTTCAGAAGGATTACATAGGCAGAGAGCAGTTTGTCTTTCGTTTTGATTTGTTCTGTTTAAAAGTAGACATTTCAATAGATATATTTCTCAGGTCTATACGCTGAGTTTAGGTTCATTTATGAGACGAGTTGCAGTTCACTCGCCGCGTTTCGAGATTATCTATTGTCTGTTATATTTACTTCTTATTTATTAAATCCAGGCATTTGGTTGATGAAACATTGATTAAAATTAAGATATAATTAATACAAAACGAAATTGACTTTAATGAAAGGCTTTGTGCTTTCTGTTCGAGGTAGGCCTATGTGAAAGTTTTAAAGCACTTTAGTGCCGCTTTCGGAGCTTGTCACGTCCGTTTTTTCCTCATAAATGCGAACACGAAAAATAAAATAAAATGAATATTATATGTTCTGTTGAGAGCCAACTCTTCTTCATCCAGTGGGTAGTAGACTATTACTTTTGATTTGCGCAGTGTAATTCACTGAATTGATTTCTCTGCTGCCAGCCTCTGTCACGTATTGTGTGAGCTTGTGACTATTGCAAGCGTGCAGCTGAGAAATCCTAATTATATTGTCTGCTATATTTAGCCTACTTCTTATTTATTAAATCCAGGCAATTAATTTATTAAACATTGATTAAAATGCGTGGCGCGAGCGACAATTCTCCGACAGTAAACGGATGGCCCATT